TCGGCCTATAGATATTTTTAAACAAGGATCTTAATGTTACAACAATGTAAATAAGTATAACCTTAAACAGAAATACGACAAATGAAATGATATTTACTCTCTCTTTTTTTAAGATAACGGAAAAGATACATGAACCAAAAACAAGTTAGTTCTCGTTGTCGGAATTGCACAGTAATGTATGTGCAACAAAAATATTATGACATAAACCAACCAATTAAATAGAGACGGGAACGTCATACGGAATGAATGATTCAAGCATGAGTCAAAGACTCGGCCGGCTGTTTAGATAGGGCAAGCTAACTACTGCTTATTTACTGTGACAGGGTCCCACAGGAAGCGGGGTAGGGGACAGGGGAACACGTATACGTACGGTGTACGGTAATACAGCCAACTGATGGATAACAAAGAGTTATGTTTGCTTTATTGATGTAAAATAATACTTATACTAGTATTATAAAGAGTTTAAACTGCCTCGTTGGCCAAGCAAGTGCGACTGCCGGGGTCGGGCAAAGTATTACTGGGATATTTTTTAAAACATCTCCAGTAGTAGCACGGAGTCTGGAATTGTGCAACAGGCTTACCCCCTATTACATGGGACTCATAATATAAACAGTAAAAAATGGCTGTTACATTGTACAGTGGCATTAAGTGCCGTAATAATAATAATAATAAGCCCGCAGGGCACCTTGAGGCGAGGTGACGGGCATTAGCGATCCCGCGGGCTACCATCATCCCGAGTGCTCCAGGGAGAAGTCACCGTTCCTTCTTCTCCGGCTTGCCTTAATTGGCTGGCTGGAGTGAACGATGACAAGGAACAGGTCTCCCACCTCTGGCTTGCCTTCATTGGCCGTCCAGAGTGGAGTCGCGAGAGCAGTGATCCTGCTCGGAGGGTAAGAAACTATTCGTAAGTCGCGAGTGGGCCAGGGATGCAGGAGGCTTCGGCTGGAGCAGATGATCTGAGTAGAAAGCGGTGATAGTTTCTTAACCCTTCAGCCACTCACATTCTCGTTGCCCCTCTGTTGCTATATCTAGCAACCATTCCCGGGGCCCGGTCAGTGAGTTGGCGAGTCTCCGCCTGCCATTTTTACGTGTAAAAATTACATTGTTTCGGCAGGTGCCATAGTCATCCATAGTTCCCAATTTACCAGTCCACAGCAACCCATCCATAGCCCTACCTTTTTTTTCCATTATTCACAATAGTCCTACACTAACCGGGGACTGTCCTTGGGTGCATTTCCATAGTGCATACAGGGATAGTCGCCGGTTTGTGTGTGTCCATTACATTTATATTAAAGTTGTCTAAAGGGCCTCTGCGCAGTTGGCTTCGGCCCCTCGTACGCCTTCCAAATGACCGGGACCCTGTGGTCCCGTGAATGGTAAAGACATACATAATAATAATAATAATAATAATATCTTTATTTGCCAGAAACACGGTAGGTACAGTTGTTAAATCATAAAATAGGTCAACATGTTTCGCCGTCATAGCGGCATGCAAATTACTTAAAAACTAATTTTCTTAACAACTAATATGTTATACAGTTATAAACTTTACTTTTGACATATCACCCAAACACAATACACCATTTAATAACAGATGCCTATAAGACTAAATAACAAACAATAAATAAATCTTTTATCTTAGGCTACTACAGAATAGGAACATGAGGAACCTTTTAAATGGACTAGCTTATTTAGGCTTATATCTAGAAGCTAGATGTATACTAAAATTTTTGCATGGGTATTTATAAAAAAATTCGTTAATTGAATAAAAGCATTCATGTAACAACCATTTACGTAACTGATTACAGAATTTTTTAAAGGGAAGTTCTGTTATACACTTTGGCAGTGCATTATATACCAGAGGAGCCATGTAAACACAGTTTTTTCGAAACATTTCTAGTTTAGGAACAGGTATTTCATATGGTAAATGTGTAACCTCTCTTTTATTTCTGTTGTCTTTCGGTTGGAAGAGCATAGGATGAGATCTCAAGAACTTAGCAACTTCGTAGATGTATATGCAGGGCACCGTTAAAAGACCCTGTGACTTGAAAACAGGCCTACAGGATTCGGACCATTGCATGTTAAAAATTGTCCGAATGCATTTTTTTTGAGCAATGAAAATTCTTTCTATATCGGAAGAGTTTCCCCACACCACAATACCATATCGGATTACAGAGCAGATGTAGGCGTGATACACCATCAAGGAAGTATGTTGGGATGTAGCATCTTTTACTTTACGTAATGCAAATACGAATTGGTTAATTTTTTTACAAATGTTATTAATGTGGTTCTTCCAAGTGAAGCACTCATCTAACGTAACTCCAAGAAATTTTGATGAATTGAGCTGATTAATTATACTGTTATTATATACTACATTAAAGCGTATAGGTTTGCTTTGGCATGTCTTAAAATGCAGTAAGTTAGTTTTCGAAATATTTATTTTTAGTTTATTAACATCTAGCCATTGTATTACGTCATTCAAAGTTTGATTAATTTCCATATCAAAGTTTTGAGGATTATTACATTTAATGATTATTGTTGTGTCGTCAGCAAATAGGACACATTGATGCTTTATTGAACTTGGTAGGTCATTAATGTAGAGTAGAAACAGTAAAGGTCCTAAAATGCTGCCTTGCGGAACACCACAGTCGTTGATATCCGGATTAGAATCAAAGTATTCCAGGCTGTTAGTTAATTGATTGAATTTGGTTATTCTAGTAATCTGTTTTCGGTTACATAGATATGACTGAAACCAATCCTTGGCTGGGCCCCTGACACCATACTTTTCCATTTTTTCTATGAGTATATCATGGTTAACTAAATCAAAGGCCTTACTTAGATCCAGAAATAAAGCACATGTAGGTATTTTTTCATTAATATTACTGATTATTGTTTTAATTAATGTGTAGATTGCTAGTGTAGTTGACTTGTTCTGCCTAAATCCGTACTGTTGACTAACTAGTATATTATATCTATCTAAAAATTTTAGGACACGGCTATACATAACTTTCTCGAATATTTTCGAGATTACTGGAGTCAGTGCAATAGGTCTGTAGTTATCCAAGTTTAATTTTGATCCCTTTTTAAACAATGGTTTGATTAATGCTTTTTTTAGCCTTTCTGGAAAACATCCTTGTTGTAGAGATAAATTAATAATATGAGCTAAAGGCGAAGAAATATATTTAGATACAGATTTAAGAAGTTCTGTAGTTATATTGTCATACCCTGCTGACTTTGAATTTTTCAATGACATTATGATACGACAGACTTCCAATGCATTCGCAGGTTGAAGGAATATACTATTATTTTGAATATCAATGTTATGCATATAATTTTGGCTATCAAAAGAAGTTGGGGAATGATTCTTTGCTACCTCAATGAAAAATTTATTAAACCTATTTGCGATGTCAGATCCTGAAGTCAATGTTATGCAATTATCAACGATTTTATTAATATATTCTCTAACTGTCTCGTTCCCCATATTGCGTCTTACTACATCCCATGTGGCTTTAACTTTATTTTGAGAGTTAGTGATATGCTTGTGGTTGCATAATGACTGTAAGTTGTTCATGCACTTTCTTAACAATTTTGAATATGTTTTATACTTAATTTTATCTACGCTATTTCTATTCTTATAATATCTATGTCTTAACAATCTTTTAGTACAACAGCTATTTTTAATCCCTTTTGATATCCATTTGTGTTTAATATTAGTATATTTCTTTTTTATTTTTATACTTGGAAAGCATAGTTTGAAGAAGAGATTTAATAGTTCATGAAACTCATCAAAGGCTTCATTAGTATTCTCTAAATCATAGACTTCACTAAAACTTAAGCTACCTATATATTCAATAAATTTACTTATATTACATTTATTCAAGTCATTGATAACAATAAAATAGTAGTCTAATGGGTGTTTTTCTTCTATTTTTATAGTAACAATTTGAGCTGTGTTATGATCAGATAGATGAAAATTAAATGTTTCACCAGATGCATTTGTGACATTACTGATAATATTGTCTATACACTTGTTGAGCCTAGTTGGTTGATGTATTAGATATTGCATTGCGTAATGCCACCTCTGCCTACCCCTTCGGGGATAAAAGGCGTGATGCTATGTATATAAAGAGTTTAGTGTCATAGACTAGACTGCATATACGGAGAAATTATGAGCCTCAAAATAATTGACTGTCCATAATTCGGGGTATTACAGCAGCAGTACTTTTGACCAGGATTTCACACCTCATGACGTTTTCAATTTCTAGTATCGTAATATCAAAGTCTGTTCATTGACTAGGCTTCCTTTCAAGTATTAATATATTTTCATGATGATATATTTAGCATGGTTATATTATAAGCTTCGCGGATCTCCATGTGAAGGTCACGATAACTCGTCTTCACCGGATTTTTTAAACAGACTTTACATGCACGTACACCGGCAGTGTTTGTTTATATTACGTTGCCCCAATTCGGGACGAGCTCCCGAACATATGACTTTGTTATAAAAACGTTATACGTTTTCATGACGCAATCTTGGAACAAACTAACCACAACGACTATATTTGCCAAAAAAAAATACGTTTAAAAAAACAGACTACAAAAACCATAAACTAAAAAAAAAAATATTATTTATTGTAGGTACTCAGTACCTAGTCCTACCAACCTAAGAACCTCCCCCTTTTTGGGAAGTCGGTTAAAAACTGTACAAATTTCAAACTCAAGGATTTTTTTTAAGGGGGGAAAAAATCATCGAATGACAGCTCCCGCCTGGGTGAGGCGGGAGGGAGTGTCAGACTCTTACTGACTAAAAACCACCCCGTTCCTTCTCCTGCACGTTTAGCCCCGGTAACCCGTCAGGTTCTCCGCGACAAACTTTAAGGATAGAAAGGTTTCTAAATCTATTCAATAAGGGTCCTAATGTAGGTATACGATTCGACTAGTGTTTACCTCAGGTTTTATCACCGTAAATGATATAATAACTACGCAGGTTTAGTACTGACCTTCAAACACTTGAGACAGAAGGTATGTTGGCATGGCAGGACACGGGAAGAAGTGTCGAGTCGCTCCAAACAAACGGAGCACTCGAGAAGGTCGTTGAGTAAACCCTCATCCATGCCGGTTGGGCACTGAAAACAAAGTAGAAACACTGTTATTATTTTATGAACACCCTATAGATTTAACATTACAGTTCACGGCAATAAATATTGCACATCGACTTTTGAGTAACAATTGTGTGTGATATTTTTTTCATTTGTAAGTACAACACTTTTTCTTTTATAATATTTTTGAATGTTTTCAGGTGAATGAAGGTTTGGCTAGTTTTAGTCCCATAATCATGAGAAGTATAGTTACGAGGCGATTTGTCCGATTCTCTCTTGCAAAAGGTATGCAATATTTAACACTGGGTACTGTACTGAATAACTATCTAAACAAAAAACAATAATTCGTTTAAAAAACCAACTTCAATTCCTTCTTTTTTGAAGTCAGTTAATTAATATATTAAAACTTTCTCCTAAGTGTAACAAACAGTTTTCTGAAAACCGCATCAAAATCGGTAAAGCCAATCGCGAGATAATCGCACATTAACATACAGGTTAACTCATTGAGTACCGTTATTATAGACACAATTAAAGAACAATAGGTTGCGGTCGCCGGTGACCGCTCGGTGTTTGACAGTTTAAAACGAGAACCTTGTTGTTGTATTGAAGATTTTTATAATAAAAGTAGCATATGTCACTCCTTAGTACATCAGCTACCTGCCAATAAAAGTATTGCAAAATCGGTCCAGCCATTCCAAAAGATTGGCCAGTACAATCTGACAGACAGACAGAAATTGTGTCATTTTGATATGTGTACCGTATGTACATTCATTTAATTTAGTTTAATTCAATATTACAAACAGTTATTTTAATATTACAAACAGACACTCCAATGTTATTTCTCTGTATAGATATAAAGCTAAAGAGTTTGTTTGAACGCACTAATCTAAGGAACTACTGGTCCAATTTGAAAAAATATTTTTGTGTTGGATAGTCCATTAATCGAGGAAGGCTATAGACCAAAAAACATCTCACTATGATAAATAGGAGCCGAGCGGAGCGTATGAAACCGCATTGGAGTAGCTAGTTTAGTATAATTTCTGTTAGTAAGCATAAAAATTAATGAAAACAAGGCATGGTGACTCCTTTCTTTTAACTAGGTATGAGAAAACCAGAAAGGAAAGTTTTGCATTAATATGTTAATGTATCATACCCAAAATTTGTTCATACAAAAGTAATCTCTAATCATCGGAAATAAGGTCTATAATGGAGTTAGTGGAGACTGGTGCCTGTGTGGGGCTATCTCCACGCAGTGCTCTATAGCAGTTAATAATAAATTAAAATTAAATTAAAAAAAAAAATTATTGAAATAACTGGCATGTGTATTAAAAGCGTAATTAGTTTTTCAAACTTAGAATCAAATAGATAATTACCACAAAAGGAAAAAAATATAAATAATTTGTGAGTCATTAATTGCTATTCTGATTAACTAAGTTGTTCCTTATAAGGATTAAACTATCCCAATTAGTCATGTCGTGTGACTGCCTGCACAACAAGGGTCAAGGTCGTTGGGATCGATTACCCAAACTACCAAAGTATTATAAAAACTTTTTCAAAAATACCACTTTTTGTCGGTGTTCCATAACATTTTTATTTGGAGAAATGTGGAAGTTACATTTTATAATACTTAATATTATATTGAGATTAATTAACTTAATCATTTACAAATTGTTTTGCACATTATGCGAGACACAGTATATTTTCTATGCAATCAACATATGCCCAAGACATTGATGAATTAGTTTAGATCATAATTAAGTAAAATGGAGTTAGAATATATCAATTAAGCTTTAGATGAACTACCTACATAAAGATATTTTCTTTTCTATCACAAGAGACTACAGACTGCGATCTTGATACACTATCAAAACAGGTGCATAGGATATTAACTAAACATATATGATACAGAGTTGACATTGACAACACCATATTGGAGAGTTGTTTGACAATTAACAAAAATATAAGTACATAGGTATTATTATAATTTGGTGTATAGGAAGATAATTAATACTATAGGTACCTACTTTGTACCAAATCATGAAAAAGAAAGTAAGAAAGTACATGTCACTAATATTCAAAGTCTTGCAAATAATAGGTGCATACACCATTCAAATATGGAAACAAAACATTCATTGTTATGCTTGCATAGGAAGTGATACCTAACTCTTTGGACAACAAGAACTGGCTTTTATCAAGTTATAAAAGAACATTGGAACATTGTATAGTTATACAAAATATCAATAAAATGTATTCCTAAAAGTGTGGTCATGAGCAAGGAATATTCAAAAAGAATAAACAATCCTTTTAATTCAATGATTTTATTGCTTTGCTACCTTACACACACCTCTACGGATATGTGTGACGAAGAGGGCTCTCGCCCTAAATCAGCAAAATCGCATTCTCAGACACATGCCATGTATTATGATCATCTTGCTACAATTATGCAACAAGTCTTTCATTGTTTACCAGACATACTTTTTAAGTATATCCTTTGCTGATATTATTACATATTGCATTTGACTACAGCCAACTGCATAAAATTAAGCCTATCTAAGGGCAGTCCAATATTAAATTATTCTGTAGTCTATAAAATTTAGTTTGAAGTACTTAAATGGATTTACCAAAGCAAATGGATAAATGAATTTTGAATTTATAAATATATGTATTTTCCATGTCTGTAACTTCTTATTATACTGTTTATATTTTTTATTATCATACATATACATCATATATGTAACATAACATTAATATATTTTCTAGAAGCTACTGACTGCTGAGTAATATATTACTCACTCAAATTATAGATTAAGTACTCTACGCAAGTTTACTTAACTTTTGTATTGCTATTAAAACTTTTTGGTAAATAATTAAAAGAAAAACCAAAAACTATTTGCCAGTTATTGAACTTTTGTCAAAAATAATTGTGAACAGTCCATCCTCTTTTGTAGAAACATTAATTATTTATTATGTATTGCTCCATAACTACCTACTTATATCTTGAAAGGTTTTAGATAAAATGATAACAGTTTGATAAGAACTTTAAATAAACTTCCATACATTGAATATTTTTGTTTATAAAAACATGAATCCATTCATTTGATTACTGCAAATGCCTGTTTGGTTTGTAATGATAATGTGTCAGGAAATAATGAATTATTGTTTTATAAACATGCATCTATAAAACAAGATCCTATGTAACATAGTCAAATAAGTGGTAAAGTAGATGCTTGATATATTTATTCCAAAAAGCTAAAGACGTTAGCTATCTTTTGGTCACGAATTTCATTACGAAAGCATGTTGCTAAGTGGCGGTTTAGTAAAAATAGACAAGTAACTATTTCGAAATTTATGTTTTGCATTCCATGGAATACACGGAAGTGTCGGGAAAACAAATATATTTCATTATAAATAGCCTGACAAACACGACACCGAATAGAACATAACTACAATGCTAGTTTACTGGGTATTTTTAGACAGACATGTAGATTTTATTGGCTTTACCTGATTACATCTTACGTTAGAACTCAAAATTTTGATGACTCACCGAATGTTTTAAATTCCAACGATGTTAGCGGGAAGTCTGACCATTATTGTTAAGCACAATGAAACAAAATCCACGGGATACCACCCCGAACCAGTCTCACTAAAATTCTTTGACACAAAACTCTCTAAAACTGCACATAATACAACACTCCGAAGGAATAATTACACCAGGGATCTAAAGGTCGGAAGGTGAAGCTGCTCCTGTGAGAAATATGCAGTTGTTCACATAAAAACTGATACAATTTCACGCACAAATGCCATTCTCGCCGTTTCTTCGTTCGACCGGACGGTGAAGCGGGGGCGGGAGCAAGCGACTATCACCTCTCAGGGTGGTCATATAAATCTCCTAAATTCTACTCTCTTAGCGACTGATAGCGTTATTTAAAATTGTTTTCGAAATCATGAAATAGCTAATCAATTTTATATGATTTGTAGTAATGTAGGCCATGTAGGCAAAGTAAGGCGTTATAGTAACTTTAATAAAGGATTTAACAAATTACTGTATCGTGATTATTATTCGTGATATTCAACATTAGGTATACAGGCAGGGTGGAATATATAAAATAAGCGCATGAAGTTAAAATTTGTGATATTTATTTATTAATTTATCATAGTACCTAATATTAATCATGTAAACGAAAAAAAGATTTCGATGCGATGACTTCTTTCGTGAAAATGAATAATTTTTTATATTTCTAAACGCAACTATCAATGTCATTGCATTGTTCAATCTGTCAATCGAACGCATGTCATTCGGTCAGACTGTCAAAATATGTCATACTTTTTTGCGTACTAATTTGTTTAAATATATTGAATTTCTTGAAAATGTCTCGCGATAAAAGCGTTTGGTTTGCAGAAGAGATATTGCTGGATGCTAAATTAATTAATTTCCAATTAGAAACGGGAGAATGGGATGCTGTGGAAGAAATGTTACGTGCTGAAGCACAACTTTCCAGAGATGCCGAGACTGGACGATTACGGCCGTAAGTAATCAAATATTGAACTGGTATCTATACAATCATAAATAATATATTGATTTTGTAATTCTGTACATCAATTTGGCAGGTATTCAATACTTTGAACCGTTCTAAATATCTTATTTGAATGCCAATAAAACTAACCGCATTACAGGAATGTGCGAGTTCCTTTAATCTAAGACTAGCTAAGGATGCTCATTTTATACGCACTTAATCTCTTAATAAAATTGTCATTGACATTATATTTTGCAAGTAAAACAAATCATATAACATTTCATAATTTTTTAATTTCAGGAAAAAGGCATCAGAATATACATTACGACTCATAGCAGAGGTTCTTCACATAATGCGACTTGATGTTGAACAAGCTTCATACAATAGAAGTACTTTAGCAGTTGCAGAGCAGTGTCTTCGCTTGGTCCGCTCTTGTGCTGCAGCGGGAACTAAAATGCAAACTTACATCTCTAAAGAACTCTCTATTCTAGACTCTATGCT